CCCCCCCCCCCCCCCCTCCCCCCCCCCCCCCCCCCCCCCCTTCCCTCCCCCTCTCCCCCCCTGCATGGGAAGCTAAGCCGACGGCAGGAAAGAGTGGAAGCACCTGGGAAATGGATTCTTTTGATTTCTTCTTTTGCCTCGCACGCGCCACGAAGGACCGCTAAATATTCCATTATTAACCCCCGGTTCCATTATGAAGTCTTCGAACTTCTTAAAAGGCACTCTGAAAGAATAAATGCTTTATGCACTCCATGTGTGCAGCCCAGGCTACGACCATATCTCTACGGTTTCTCCACGTTAAAGCAAACAGCGGCGACCTCCCCGCCGGCAACCCTCCCCGCCGGCAACCCTCCCCGCCCGCAACCCTCCCCGCCGGCAACCCTCCCCGCCCTTAATTGAAGATGAAGGGAATGGAAATTGCTCTGAAGACACGGAGACGTGCTCGAGTGACTCGGAATCGTCAGCGAAAACGGGAGGCAGTCACCCCGTGCCGCGAGGAAAACAATGGCTTACATTCGAAGGCTTAGATCCATTAACGATCGGAAGGAATCTTAATCACAATTTATTTCTCATTTTTGTCCACTTTTTTCAACAAATCGAATTCGACGCTCCAGCGATTTTCAGTTTACGTGCCAGGGGGCACGTAGGGGGCACATAGGGGGCACCAAGGGGGACGGGGCGGGAGTCCTCTCTTCTTACTTGAGCCTCTTGATTAAATTGTGGACGGAGAGGAAACAACATATTTTCATCAAAATTGACTATATTGCCTCTTCCTCGCACGTAATTTTATTAGGGGATCCATCGGAGAATATCAAGATCAGTATTGCGGCTGTAATGAAGGTCTTCATTGCTTTTCCCGCCATATTTGTGTAGCAAAATATTCTAAAAAAATAAGTTTTGGTCCGGTCCGAGCATCGTCGTCGGTTCGAATGTTCAAATTCAGACATTCACTCCAAGGAGAGTTTGAATCTCGAGATGAGGTCGGGACGAACGATGCCGACGGTCGAGAGCGGCCGACGGGCGATGTCGGCGCGTCCACCCTCGCCGGCGACGAGGGTGTGATGGCTTTCGCGGGGATGGACAGGGTTCGGTCCCTCTTCCACCTCCTCCTCCTACTCCACCTCCTCCTTCTCCTCCACCTCCTCCTCCACCTCCTCCTCCACCTCCTCCTTCTCCTTCTCCTTCGCCCGCTTTACCGTGTCACCTTCCTTCTACCTTCGACCTCCTTCCGCTTTGTCCTCCTCGCCCTGCGACCTCTTTTCGCAGTCTTCATTCCCGCTTCACCCTCTTACCTTCGACCTCTTCCCCCTTTGTCCTTTGTCTTCGCTTTCGCTCGTGTCGGGTTCGCTCGACTCGTCTCTCGCACCCGATCGGCGACTCGCCGCAGGAACGGAAGGGATTCGGATGGGAAACGCATGGGGGCGCTCCGCTCGCGACTTCCTCGGGCGGGACTGCATGGGATGCGTCAGCAAGGACCTGCGACCTTCTTGGAAAATTCTGGGATTTCGCTAAGGAGATTGTCTGCCGAGCCTCACCCTTAATTCCCTCGGATTCCCCTCATCTCGAGGATCTTAAGGACCTTGAGAATCTCGAGCCGCTACCTCCTTCGATGAGCCCATTCAAAGCGACGCAGCGAACGGTAAAGCTACGGTACATCGCATGCATCGCGAAAAAAAAAAGAATTTCCGGAATCTTCCCAATGAAATGCCACCTTCTCAGTTTCTGGAATCCGGAAACTCCGAAATCGCGACCACAAGCCTTGTATGCTTTCCCGAAACATAGACGACAAAGCGTCATGCTTGCCTCTGCTATGAAGCCAAAACTGCCCCTCCCCACAAAAATTTAGGAGTAAAATTTAAGGCGAAAAGCGTCTCGAGGGCTTTCAGGACGACCCTCTCCGCTCTTTCGCATGCAGGGTTGCCACCTTTGAATGTATGGACATGTGGACAATTATTCAAATTATTCTTGTGGCTGTGGTACTTGTGGTAATAATGGTATTTGCAGCATGATTGCAAGTACGCATAGCTTAAGTCACCACCTAACGCCAATCGATACTATAAGAGTGTGACCTATAGCTTTTGACTTCTGGAAATTATTGGTTTTAGCTGCCATCAAACAATATTAATTCAAGAAACCTCAACAATTTTATATGGACAAAACAGTGTCCATATTGAGACGATTTCGCAGTTCACTGTCGATTAGTCACATGTTTGAGGGGGGGGGGGGGGGGGACCCGGGTATGTNGGACAAAACAGTGTCCATATTGAGACGATTTCGCAGTTCACTGTCGATTAGTCACATGTTTGAGGGGGGGGGGGGGGGAACCCGGGTATGTACTGTCCATGCGAACCACGAATGGGTGGCAACCCTGTTCACATGCATTCAGCGACTGCCTTCCAGAGTTTCCGGGCGAGACCACTGAGGCAGAGAAGGCCTCTCTGCCTCAGTGGGCGAGACGGTAGAAGCAGACGACGAGGCCCAATCGGCAAAAGCGGAAACATGGCAGCTGACAGTATCCACATGCTTGCAACAGCACTCGCATCAGTGATCGCTCGACTACCGACCGTATAAGTTCTTTTACACTCGAAGATGGTGGCCCGCGCCTAAGCTAAAATAAGTTAGTGACACCCATAGGCCTTTTTGATGATAGCTCGCCCCAAGGTAGGTGTAGGCCCAAGAATTGGACGCGGCCCGAATATCCGAGCCTAAAAGCGTTGGCGACTCGCTGTAGTGAAGGATGTCTTTCTTCATATTTTACTCATACCTGAGCTTCCTAACTGCATCAAACTCAATTGAAGGGAATGATCAACTTTGAAAAAAAAAGGGAAGGACGGGCATTAAACCTGCTATGTTCAGCGATGTCAAAGTGCAAGCAACCATTTCTCCCTGGGAGGAGCATGTGATCAAGGTTGGAAAGTAACCTAACAGATACAGATTATTTGGATGTAACTAGTTCCAGGGCAGCCCTGGGTGTAGACACTTCATAATGTGAAGTGACTGACAATAGCTTGAATTTGGGCCAGTAGCCTAGGCCAGTGGTGTTTCAATATTGAGTTCAATTAATTTTCCACTTGACAGCAACACATCCAAAGATTGTGAGCTGCTTATTATGATTGCCACATTCATGCAATTTCACAGCCCCGTAGTGTTTGAACACATAGGACTCGAGTGGAAAATGATCAAACTCAATTGAGAAATTCTGGTAGCATTTCACATCATGTCAACATGCATAACAGGAGACATATGTCCTTGCCTACAAATACATGAACTCATGGATTCAGTTTATTGCAATTCAAAAACTCTAGCATAAACATTAGTCTTCAGAAGAGCAGCTGCTAGAACTGGGCCTACAATTTCAACATTATTTTTTTCTATAGGATTGAGTCTGCCTACCACATGCAACATGGCATCTTTTTATAAATGGCACAAAACTCCACCAATTTTATACAAGAATGGGAACCCCGTGAAGAGGGTCGGCCGTAAGCCAGGGAAGGAGCCGGTTCAATACAGGCTGCGGTTCCCCCCCTATCTCAAGGATTCTGTCTCTGGGAAGCAGGAGAAGAAAATGGGTATGATGCACAAATCCTTACATGAAGACATTGTGTTTCATTCATAAAGGTCCAGAGTGAAGATTCATGTCATCAACAGAATGGTTCTTACTCTTACGTCTTGACAAAATGCGTCTTACTCCCGGTTTTCTTTTGTAGATGCTGTGTGCATTCAGGAGATGACAGTGATGATGGCATGCCTCAAGAAGAATGAATTTAAGGAGTCTGGATGTGCACCTGAAATTTCTGCTTTCAAGAAGTGCTTGGTAGATGCACAGGTGAGGATTTCCCGAGGTCATTACAGTAAATTTAATCGTCTATGAGCAAATGAAGCAACTATAAAGCAGAGATAATACATGTTGCTACACTTGCATGACTTATGGGAGGGGATTTCTCCATAGACAATCTATGCCACACAGAGTACTTCCATGAAGTAAGGGTCAGCTCTATCTGCATGCAAAGGTACTCTTACTTGAAAAACTTTCATGCATTTGTATTCAAGTGTGAATCCTCCTTGACTCTAGGACAGATGCAACCAAAAATAATGCTCTGTGAAGCTTTATGCTCCCTTGCTTTTCTGAAGACAAAATTTTCAAGCTGGTTGCATTAGTTGTTCATTGAATTCATCTAAATGTAATGAACACCTTATAGTAGCCATTAATTCATGAAAGCCCTTTATATCAGCTTACTCAGGTCTCATTTTTGGGCTAGGCCTGCTATGCATATATCTGCAGCAGCAGGAGTCAGGAGAGTTAGTGATATCAAGAGGCGATTT